GTGCTGGTCATTTGAGTATGCCTATCAGTTATCCGAACGACATCTTTTACGATCATTCATCGATAATTTGCCATCGATGGAAGTTCGTAATCTGATGCTAACCGTGATATCCACTTGATTAGATTAACGTCTATTCACCACAAATCATGTCATTGCTCTAGGAAGTCATTCGCCCATCCTTTGATGTCGAATAGATATCATAAGTCCCAAATTCCACTAGTATCGGTCAATCCTGTTCGTGGGATGTGGGCTCCCGCTTATTCAACTTGAATTCAGAATCGTAGTCACGGCTGAACGTGGCTTATGCAATCATTTGAGGTGGCCAGCCGATGTACAAGCCAAGATTTCCACCCTTCCAGACGAATCTGGCACCAATAACCCGATCTCAGAAAGATCGAGAGCGAGAAGTTGACCTGGCCAAATATTAATCCGTGGCTCGATCCTCCGGCCATGCCAGTAATGGTCCACCCCTTGGCACTACACCAATGTGCACTAAATTGATGCCTTACCATCTCGAGGTGTGCAGTGATGTGGAGAACTATTGGTTAGCATCGATTGCATTTTTTATAAATGAGTTTATTTGAAGTGCGCATAGGTGTTCTAATACAGTTACAGTACAATACAATTGATCCAGCACTTAAGATCAATTCTTTACGGAGTTTTCTATGAGAACGATATTCAGCTGTCCCGTAAGCCATTGATATTTTGGGTAGATTTTGATATTCGCGCCCATGTTTCGCGCCATTTTGCTTACAGTCGTCGAATTATTGTCAGTCGATTGAAAGGATTCGAGACTTTGCTCTTCCACTGAGCTCCTTAGGATGATTTTTTGGCATTCGCGTCTTGAATCCATATCAGTTTGCCGGTGGTGATGGGCTTTTATGCAGTCGATGGAAAGGTCCACCAAACGTCTTGCGAAAGATATCTTTTCGACTTCTTAATGAGACCCTTCTGGTTTGAATCAGGAAGAAAATCCTTGCGAGCGTCCAATGTATGGGCCATCCACAAACGGAATAGGTAGCTCCGGGTGTGATGCAGTAGGAATGAAGTTGCCGCGTCGCGGTGAGAGAGACGTCGCGCGCGAAGGAATGTAGTAGAATGCAGCAGCAGGTAAGAAATACAGAAACAAAAGAACTAACAGTAGAATCACGCTTATAATAATGATCGCACGAGTTGTATGAAGAGCACTGGAGCTGTAATAACGGCGGCGCGAATGGTCTGCGGCAGCCGCGTGCAGCGACATAAAACCGATACTACTACCCTTCTCCCATCTCTCATTTCCTTGGCTTCTTCAGCGTCTAAAGTTGAAGGGGATCTCTGGAACCCATTCAAAAGAAAAGGGAAATCACAGAAATGCATTCCATGATGGAATAATTTCAGCTGAACATGATTAACCGCTTTGTAGGTCCCATCTGTGCCTATAGGAGGTGGAGTTCAACCTGAATGGCCCCCTGCTGCCCATGACGAGGTACTAACATAAATCTGTAAAGTCAGTGCAGGAAATTTTGTGAATGTGACATTTTCAGAGAAGAGGTGAAGCACCAAGTGGAGAGGCTCACCCAGCTTGGTCGGCTGAAGCCGACAGAAGCAGAGGTCAACCACCACACGCTTCTCGCGAAAGCCAAGAACATGCTGCTGCTGGTGCCGAACCGTCTTCGCCATATTCTAGCCAAGAGGCACCTGGTGGACGTTGGGCAGAAGCCCCATATCAACCTGAAGCAAGGGCCCATCCATCACCTCCGTCACATCCAAAGTGGGTTTATGAAGTAGAAAGGGTATTCCGCCGAAATGTTCACTGCAATTCAGGGATCAGGTTCGTTTCCGCTACGTGAAACCGGCCGCAGTTGTTAAGGACCAGTATGGCAGGCTGTATGAAGGACATCAGGAGGGCGGGTAAGGATTCCTATACTGGATTTTGCGGGTACAGGAGAACTTCTAAATCACCTTTTTAGCGAGACCCATTACTATCCTGATCAACGAGCCGGAGCGGAAACTGCTAGGACGTAGGTCGAAATGTTATCAATTCCTTTTACCTTTTTGGGTCAAGTGGGCAAACTGTTCAAACTAGGCTATAAGCCAAAAAATCGATAACTATTCGACACATTAGGCCACTTATTTGCTGAAAACCTTGAGCTTCCCGTATTAAGGGATTCCCGGGAGTCACAACAACCTGCAGCTCCAGCTAGCCAAGAAATAGCTGATCGAGGACAGCATGTAGCACCTGAACACCACCCACACCACGTAGTTCCTCAACATCCTGCCTCCCGGGAACGATGGGAACAGGATCGTTCTCGGCAGATGGAGTGAGTAACCTTGCTCTTCTCTCTTAGACGACTGAATAATTAGGTGTTTCGAAATTTGACTATACTTTTGGTAAAGGTAAAGCACTCTGAAATATTTGCTGGAGGGATTCGAATTTTTTCTTGAAAATTTTAGAAATAACAAGGAACAATGGTAATCACCAGAACTGAATTCGTTCTTCCCTATAAAAACCACCCAAATTCTCTAAAGAGGACTTTTATGAATTAAGCTCCCGTAAAAAGAAGTTCAGGGAGAATTTTATGGCACAAATGGACCTTGAAATCGATGTGGTCCACTGAAAACAAAATTTTATAACCTCTATAATGCTACTTTACAAAATATTGTTTGCAATTAATCGATTTAGCGCTGATCAAGAATATGAACAACGCGAAGCAGCACAGAGAAGAGCCGAGTATGAACGGCAGAAGGCTGAGTATGAACGGCAGCACGCCGAGCATGAACGTCAAAGAGCTTTAGAATATTCGAGACAATTGGCACTAGAACGCTCACGACAAGAACAGTGAGCATTTCAATTTGCATCGCATTGTTGACAAATGGGAGATTCGATAGAATGCGCCTTCACGATTTGACTGTTATACTAACTTACCAGAGGACTTTCTAGTTGTTATAACAGTAACTCACCCGCTTCCCTGAAAATTTCTCACAGTTTTCAGATTAAAAAGGCTAGATTTGACAACAGTAATCGATTACTCTATTTGTCATGAAGCATGTCGTGGAAAAATCATGTTTTACTCTCACTCAGGGCAGAATTCTTACTAAAAAAGGAAAAATTAAAAACATACGTTTATGATTTTTTTT